GCACTCATTGCTTAGTTGGCCAATGAGTTTTTCCATGGCGTTTGTGTTTGTTCCTGTCATTATGATATCATCAACATAAATTAACATTAGAATAAGAGTTGAGTTATCTTTAAACACAAATAACGAGGGATCAGAGTATGGGCAAGTGAATCCTATATGTATGAAGGAGAAATTGTGAGAGCCTTTCAAACCATGCTCTCGGAGCTTGCTTAAGACCATATAAAGACCATATAAGGAACGATTAAGTTTGCAGACAAGGTGGGCCTTGTTAGGATGTTGGAAGCCTGGTGGTTGAGTCATGTATACATATTCCTTAAGGTATCCATGCAAGAATGCATTCTTGACATCAAGTTGTCTTAAAATCCATCCAAAATGGACTACTAAGGCAATGATCAATCAAATTGTTGTTGGCTTGGCGACAGGACTGAAGTCCTGTCTCGTCATAATTCACTCCTTCAACTTGAGAGTAGCCTTGAGCTACTAATCGGGCCTTGTATCTTTCAACACTTCCATCTTCTTTCAACTTTGTTTTGAAGATCCATTTTGAGCCGACAATGTTGATATTAGGAGGAGGAGTGACAAGTTCCCATGTGTGATTTTCCTTGAGTGCTTTCATTTCTTCTTCCATTGCCATTTTCCAATTGGGGAATTTTGAGTGCTGATTTGAAGCTCTTTGGCTCAGCTACCAAGGCTTGGCTGCACGATATTGACTTGGTGCTTTGTAATTCTTGATGTAGTTTAGGATCCAATTGTGGATTGTTGTAGAGCTTCCTCCTTGTTATCATAGGATGTGATGCATTCAGAATGGTTGAAGATGGTACTGTATGTTGCTCTTCATTTGATAAGGTTGAGGTTGTCAATTGATCAATTGTGTATGTTGCTCTTCATTTGATAAGGTTGAGGTTGTCAATTGATCAATTGTGGATGAGTCTGCAGTAGGAAAACACAAGTCAATGAAGAGATTTTCACTAATGTCTGGCAACTCACTTACGACAACTCACTTACTTGTGGGCTTAAATCAACTGCAAGTATGTCTGAGTGATTGACGACATTTTCTCCCACAGTTGCATCGTGCTGAGTATGTTTTGTTTCTGATTTAGTGTGTTGATCTTCCTCAATTGAGCATCCATCGGTCATTTCTTGTTGAGTTTRAGACTCTTCCAAGACTATAGTTTTCTTCCTAGGATTTGACTGGGCTGCACAATCCTTTTGAGCTTCATAGCTAACTTGCTTCTTGTGTGTTGATTCTGCTTTTGTATTTARCCMTTCTTCATATCCTGTGAATTCAGAAACTASAAGATTTTGGAAACTACAAGATTTCTTCCAATATTGTTGTCAGTTTTGCTTTCTTCAAAAGGAAACACAATTTCATAAAAAAYATGTCTAGAGAKGTATATTCTATTTGTGGTCATGTCTAGACATCTATATCCTTTGTGGATAGGGCTATATCCAATGAACACACAAGGATAGGTTCTTTTGGAGAATTTGTCCTTGTTGTARTTCCTTAGATATGGAAAACACCTGCACCCAAAGACTCTTAATGAACTATAGTCGGGATCATTTCCAAAAAGCTTTGCAAACGGAGTTTTCATATCAATAACTTTGCTAGGCATTCTATTTATCAAGTAAACAACAGTTAAGAATGCTTCTGCCCAATATTTAGAGGGTACTTTTGATTGGAAAATAAGAGTTAAGCCGATTTCAACAATATGTCTATGTTTTCTCTCCGCTATTCCATTTTGTTGTGGTGTGTGARGACAAGAAAATAAGTGTAAAATTCCATTTTGTTCAAGGAGATTTTTAAAGGCTACTAAAGATGTGAACTCTCCACCACCATCACTATGAAAAATTTTAATTTTTCTATCAAAGTGATTTTCAACCAGCTTTTGGAACTTAATGAAACATGCTAGAAAATCAGATTTTTTCTTTAGAGGATATAACCAAGAGTATCTAGAAAAGTCATCTACAAAGCTTACATAATACTTAAAACCTTGACAAGAGGATATAGGGGCTGGACCCCATAAGTCACAATGGATCTTTTGTAAAGGAAAAATCGAAGTATTATTGCTATAATTAAAAGGCAATCTACAACTCTTGCCTAATTTGCATGAAACACAAACGAATCATCCTTTTTCCAGCTAGATATATCAAGATACTGATATTTATTTAAGAAGTTCAAGGTAATATCATTTGGATGCCCCATTCTCTGGTGCCAAATGGAGTAAGTAGCCTTATTTGTACTTGTCATAGCTGCAAAAGCCTTGTAAGCCTCTTGATTTTGTTCAATCAGAGCATAAAGCCCTTCTTGTTTAGCTCCCTTGCCTTTGTTCTTAATAACAAAACCATCAGAGTTAAAAGAGAGAGCAATCATTTTCCGTAGTTAGTTTGCTGATAGATAGTAGGTTTTTCTTAATTTTTGGAACAACTAATACATTGTTAAGATGCAACTTGTTTTAATTTTTGGAACAACTAATACATTGTTAAGATGCAACTTGTTTTCTCCAGTATTTAGTGAGCAATTGCCTATATGGRTAATATCTAATCCTTTGCCATCTCCTATGTATAATTTTTCATTGCCAAAATATGATTTGATATTAGAGAGCTTACCAGTATTGCTAACTACATGGGTCGAGGCTCCAGAGTCTGCAAACATAGTAGGATCTGTGGCTATACTTACATTGAATGAGATTGCAGCAAAGGCTTTCGGCATCTCTTCACTTTGATAAGAGTGATCAAATYTGTTCCAGCATTGAAGGGCTGTATGATTGTACTTCCCACATATCTGAGATTGCACATTTCCTTCTTTGGCACTTAGATTTGAAGTTTTTTGTTGCGTTGATTCCGAAAAATGTCTTTGAGGGGATAGATTTGTTGCTTGTTGAGGAGTAATGTTTGGACTTCTGCCTTGAAAACTTCCTCTTCCTTTTTGATTATAATTTCGTCCTCTGCCTCTAGACCTCCCCCTTTGAGTGTAGAAAGCTAGATTTTGATCAACATGAGAGGATTTTTCTTCATCTATTTCAGATACCAACTGAAGTTCATGATTTCTCAACGATTGAACAAATTGATTATAGGTAGGATAKGGAGCTCTGGATAACATTGCTACTCTAAAGTCCTTATATTTGTTACCTAAGCCCCTTGCCAAGTGAAATATCTTTGTTGTTTCATCTAAGGGCTTCTTCATTGCCGATAATTTGTCAGTGAGGGCCTTGAATTTCTTCAAATATTCTTCAAGGTTGAGATTCCCCCTTTCTTCAAGTTGAGTAACGCCTCGTTGAGATGAATCTCGTTTTCTTTGGTCATTGTGAGAAGTTGCTCCTCTAATGATCTCCACACTTGATAGGCAGTTTCTGTGTTTTCAATCATGCTCAACACATCTTCATTGATAGTTCCTAAAAGCCACGAAGTCCGGAGACCATCATTGTTTATCCACATGGTATATTGTCTTCCTTGCTGCTTCCAACATGTGCTTCCAACATGTTCTTCTGGTGGCTGATCATCAGTAAGATGTTGCTCCATTCCCATAGTTCTAATGAGGGGCAGGATCTGAGATTTCCATAGAAGATAGTTGTTGGAATTGAGCTTAATAGAAATGAGGCTCGAGCATTGATGAAATARTTGAATAGTAAGACTATTTTCTGTTTTGGCCATTTTGAAATCCAAAGCTAAAGATTGATTAGAACTTTTCTCGTGTAATCGTAGGCTCTGATACCAAGAAAGAATTCAAAATYAAAGTTTTAGCTTGTTGGACAAATCAAATGACAGTGGGCTGATATTTTCCCTTGTGTGTTTTCATCAAGCACCCAAAATGTCAACTAAATACTGATTACACGAGAAAATAAAAAAGGAAAACAACGGCTACTAAGGACACATATAGAAGGAATTGAAAAAAGACAAGAAAGGAAAGAGCATTCATTATAATGAATGCCGAAAAGATATTGTCAGTGTACCAAAAATAGAAGATTGAGAAGGAGAAGCAATCTGCTGCTAGTCTGTCACGAGACTCTGATCTGTACAGGTTGGAAATTTCTTTTCACGTTGAAGGCAAGAATGAGGAAGATTTCATTGGAGAGAGATTCAAGGAAAAGAATCAATTCCAAAGGATCTCAAGCTATGTTGGGGTAGAGTATGGTCAGACATTTGTCTCTTCCTCGACGAGAGTTTTTGGTAGGGTCGTTTCTAATTTTACAAAAACCAAACTCTAAATAACTTATTTTACCAATAAAACAACATCTATCCAACTAGATACAATTTTACAGCTAACTACTACTAAATCTACCTCATTCAACAAATACAATTAATAACAAACATTTCATTCAAATAACATTCAAACACAATCCTCAACTACTACTAAATCTACCTCATTCAACAAATACAATTAATAACAAACATTTCATTCAAATAACATTCAAACACAATCCTCAAACGATAGGAAGGGATGGAGGGAGAAAATAAAGGAGGAAGAGGAAGGGAAAGAGAAAATAGTGGAGGAGAGACGAAATAACGAACGGAAGACATCTATGTCAAGGATCAAATGAAGCAAAAAGTAACACTTTCATATCAATTGAATTGAAACAAATGTGATATATACATATATACATACAAACCAATGGAGATCGCAATAACATTGAAACATAATACTCTGATAATACTCCAACAATATGAGCGGAAGGACGGAGAAGGAGAAACAGAGAGAGGAGGTAGAAAGGAGTTATGGAGGGAGGAAGAGAAATGAGAAAAACTAAAAATACACCCCTACGCCTTG